CCCACATACACGTGTACAGGTAGTGCACACACACACACCCACACACACGTGTACAGGTAGTGCACACACACATACACACGTGTACAGATAGTACACACACACACCCACATACACGTGTACAGGTAGTGCACACACACACACCCACACGTGTACAGGTAGTGCACACACACACACACTACACATACAGGTGTGTGTGTGCTGCTGGCGTGGAGGCCAGCGCGGCGGGACGCGCCCTTCAGGTACGACCAGACATCCGTGTGGTCGTATACACGTCGTCCGTCCTTGGAAAACTACTGTGGCTCGCGGCAGGCTGTGAAGGCACCAATTTATTTATACTCGTCCTTACTAAAGAAGGTATGTGTGTGTGGGGGGGGGGGGTGTATGTAACATTGTGGGAGTTAGTGAGCCTTCCTCAGAGGCCTGCAGTACCACGTCCAGGTTGAACCAGGTTGTACCAGGTTGTACCAGGTCTCCAGGACATACCTCATACTAGTGCTCGTGCTTTATTACTAAGTTAAATACATTTATATAGGGTAAAAGAGCTTTTGAAATCACACAGGGGTTTATTTCTATAGCCTTAACTTAGAGGTATAAAATATATCTGGAGCGTGACTGTAAGCACTATTGAACAAGGACATTCTAGAAAATTACTAGTCCTACAAAACTTGGACTTAATCAACAATCAAGTATACTCTAAAGCTTCACTTATTAATACTTTAATTTGGTACACTTTAAGAGTGTTCTTACTTGCTCTAGTCCACAGTCACTCGTACCCGGAATAGTCGATTTATCAATATTAACTATTTTCTTTACATCTTTTTAGAGAGGATCGTTCTCCCACTGCAGTTATGCACTCTCTCCATGTGCAGAAGAGCTGCCGAACTGGTGGGGTTTTGAAAAATGGATTTTTCTACCAGCACCCATTATTTCATATATTCACCACAAAACATTCCCCTCTGATGCCCCTTCGTTACAAGACAAGCAGAGTGAAGCAGATGTCTGGTGATGCGGGTGTCGGACCCCGCACACACAAAACCAGCAGGAAGGTTATCGACACCCAGTGATCCCACACGATAAGCAGTCACGCGTCTGGTGAACTCTGGGTAGTGAAAACAAATTATGGCCAAGCAGCAGAATCGCGATGGCCCCGTACTAAACTCAAGCCCAATGAACAAAATGCTAAAATGTTTTCCAGTGACACCCAGCACGCCTCGAGGACACACCAGAAGCCCATCAACAGCCGCTAACTCCCGATTGTTTCCAGCCAAGCCGACGCCGGACACAGTCTTCCCGCCCGGAGATCCAACCAGAAAACAGACGAAATTTATTTTAACTTCCCTGTGACCCCAGACGTCAGATCAGCTGCACAGCTGCATTCATGGATGACAGTATCGAGTCAAAATAGCGTCGTGTTTTTCGGCGGTGCCCCGGCACAAGAGGTGTCCAGACGCCCGCTCCTCGTACAGGCTGAATCAGGAGTCCGTATGTGGTCGCGGGTGGTGGTGGTGGTGTACAAATACATTAAAACACACACACACACACAAAAAAAAACACACATGACAGAAGATTAGGGACCTCGTAGCCTGGTGGATAGCGCGCAGGACTCGTAATTCTGTGGCGCGGGTTCGATTTCCGCACGAGGCAAAAACAAATGGGCAAAGTTTCTTTCACCCTGAATGCCCCTGTTACCTAGCAGTAAATAGGTACCTGGGAGTTAGTCAGCTGCCACGGGCTGCTTCCTGGTGTGTGTGTGTGTGTGTGGTGTGGAAAAAAAAGTAGTTAGTAAACAGTTGATTGACAGTTGAGAGGCGGGCCGAAAGACAAGAAAGCACAACTAGATGAATACACACACACACACTCAGCCACACATGCAGGTTGCAGAAGAAAACTCCGTTTATAATTTTAAAAGTAGAGATGGCAGGAATGCAGTAGTAGAAAAAAGTAGAAGGAAAAAGAAAGGTTAGGAGTCATTGCATTAGACAATCGGCGGATAGAAAAGCGGTGTCTAAGTGCTAATGCTCGACCCTGCAGGCAGAAATAGGTGAGTAAACACACACTGTCAGCATACACTCGCTCACTCTATCTCTCGTACTCTAGTATATATATATCGTCTGTGTTTTTGTTTTAAGAAATCGTCAAAATAAACATTAGTACTGTTAAAGTGTGAAGGTCGATAAGCATTATCATGTTGATATAATATCTAGCAGGGGCGGTCAGTGACTGATTGGCGTGTGCATCACCTGGCAAGGTTTGCCACTGGAGAAACTTGTTACTAAATATTACCTGTGACTAAGGAAGATGTGAGAGACGTGAATGTCCTACGGCGGTAGACGTACACATTAAAAACAGCGTCTTAACAGTCCACAGGACGAGTTGAGAACAGCGTGTTCTTCACGTCACTGAACAGCTGTGCGGCGGGGAAGTGTGTTATAATACGCCTTCGTGATCCTTTCCTTAGAAAATGGTGAAGTCCACCCAAGTTTAATCTGCATAAGAAGGTTGCCATGGTAAGCCGATGAGGTGTTCAGTAAAGTGTGGCATCTGGCTAGCCTCGGTCTGTCTCCCTGTGACGATGGACAGGGAGACAGTGTCACTGTCTCCCTTGAGACAGAGTGACGATGGTTCACACTGTTGACGAGTGTGATGGTCACTGCAGCGTAGGCGCCGGAGTGCGGCCTACAGTCACACCCATCTGCTAGACGGTGCTCAGGGGCTACGAGTGTGACTGTAGGGGTCACACCCGTAGCCCCTGAGCCCCGGTGCTCAGGGGCTACGTACACACAACTGCCAGTCACTGAAACTGTGTACAATACAATATTAACATGTAAATGTTTGGTTATACAAGGTTTGTTGTATTCAGTGTGAGCATTTACAATGTATAAGGAGGCATGGCGAGTCTTGGCGACACAATGTGGTGTCTTTTATGCACCTTCAGTGCCGACAAGTTTTCATTCATTCCGCCCAGGTTCTGCGAGTCACAGAAACTTGACCAGCTCTCATTGGTGTCTTGGTGTTGTCACGGCTGTCTTGGCAACATCGACTGCCCCTTTACTTTCTGCAAGAGTTTTTCCAAGGTTGTGAAGAGCAGGTTGAGAGTGAGCAGGCTGCTGCTACCCCCGGGCCCACACGGTGTATTAGCATCATGCTGGTTACCTCAGCTTGGGTCCATGTGCCTTCCTCTAGCAGAAGTATTCCTCTAAATTCGTTTGACCAAATATTTTGCTGAAATACATTTTTTCTTAGTGTAGTTTATACAATAAGATTAACAGAGCAATTAATATAGAGATTTACCAGAATTTACCTAAGGACTACTATTTCTCTAATAGCCTCGACGAAGACGCGAAGCCGGCGGCTTGTCAAAGATCCCCCACATTTTCTTATTAATATTGTTAAGGAACTTGTA